TGGACCTGAGTGTGAGGCGGAGTGTTGCAGGTCGAGGGAGACGACGACTCCAGATTCTGAGTCGTCAGACGAAACTTCTCCCCTTCTGACACTTCGCCCGAGACAAGTATATACATACATACCTCCCTCTCTTCCCACCTCCCCCCCCTCCCCTCCCCCACACACTCGGCGCGCATGCGCAGCGAGGGTGACGTGTTTGTCTGTCTACCGCAACCACGCGCAACGAGACAACGAAAGAGCGATAAGGTTCAGCGCTTGATTAACCCTCGGCGCGCATGCGCAGCGAGGGTTACGGTGTCTGTGTGTGTGGGGGTGTGTCGACGCTTATAGAGGCCACGAGGTGGCTAATGAGCGATACCTACGGCTTTAGAACTACGCGAACCTGAAAATTATTAGGCGATTTTCCTGAAACGACTGCGTTCGAGAGCGACAAACTGGCACGGTCGCGGACCGAGTTCCGTGGCCCCCAACACGCGGTATATGTACCCGGTACCCATCTTGCATGCGTATAGACACGATCAACGCGGTATGCTGTCTACCTGATCCGCTTGCTCTGTGTACCTCGGAGGCACAAGAAGCCACAGCGAAGGGCGTGTATCGACTGCCGCATGCTATCTACTACCCTAGCTAGCCCGTGTCAGATTATCCGCGAGCTATATACTAGCGGGAGACCGCGGGTAAACGCCAGCCCACCATGCATTAGCGATACCGCTCATGCGCAGTTCGCCGAGGGTTTGCACTTCAGTGTAAATGTGGCGATTTTCGTAAAAGCAGTGCGTTCGACAGTTATGGCGTGAAAATGTGAACGAAGATACGAAACGAAACGATAGGACGGAGACGAAACGAAAGTCTATCGTAGTATTGTGAACCAGGCTTTACACTGGCGGGTTGCGCACAATGATCACGCATGCGTGTATTATACGCAGTATGCTGGCTCACTTCGACCTGATCCGCTTGCTCTGTGTACCTTGGAGACACAAGAAGCCACAGCGAAGGGTGTCTATCGACTCCGACATGCTATCTACTTCCGTAGCTAACCCGCGTCCGACTCTCCGCGAGCTACTATAATAATAGGGGTAGACCGCGGGTAAACGCATACTAATCGGCCCAGCCGTTCCGTCATTAGCGGTATAATTATACCGCAGACGCGCAGTTCGCCGATGGTTTGCATTTTAGTGCTTTTCATTTTTCTTGTGAGGGCAGCGCCCGAGCAAACTTCTGGTCGTTTCTTGTGAAAATACTTTTTTGAGCTGGCAATCAGCACTCGTACATTCCGCGCGTTGTATGCGGAGGGGGGCTGACGATGGAGAGCCTGAAGAAGGTATGTCCGCAGTGTGCAGTACTCGCCCCCCGAGGGTTTTGCACTTTTAACAGTGCTTTTCATAGTTTTGGTTACAGTAAGCATGTGGGGTTTCCTGTGGTCCAGGTCAATTCTCTGCAGGAAGCTGTCCACTGTGGATGCCATGAGAAGGTGCCTGATGTAACCAGTAAGAAGGCAAGAAACAAACTCATAATCGCCTGCATCTTGGCCCTTTTCTTTATGATTGGAGAAATAGTAGGTGAGTGTCTAAGAGGGAGGGAAGGAGTGAAGATAGAGGATTACTCAACCCACTGTATCTACCCAGGTGGCTACCTGTCACAGAGTCTGGCCATTCTAACTGACGCTGCTCACATGCTGTCAGATTTTGCCAGCTTCCTCATCTCTCTCTTTGCCATCTGGGTCGCCACCCGAAAACCCTCCAAACGAATGTCGTTTGGCTGGCACAGAGCAGGTTTGTATATACAATGAGCCTCCTCTCTCAGTCCACGTAAAAACCAGTGAGCCTACCGCTCCAGCCACAAGTCCAGAGTAGTGTCTCGTCCCTGGACCTTCTCTTTCTTCTAGAGGACCTAAAGAGAAATGTAGTTTGTACAGAACTGTATATAACTGAGCTGTGAGAGGTCTTTTGTGTGGCCTAAAAGAGGCAACTACCAGTGTGACACAAAGCTATATATATATGCATCTCCTAGGTTGCATGTATATTGATCGTGAGTATATACAGTGTTCTAGATAGGAACAAATCACAGAGCGGTGCTATCTGTCACCTAGGGGGGTCTGGGGGCATGCTCCCCAGGAAAAATTTTGCATTTAGACTCTCAGAGATTGAATCTGGGGGAATTTGAGGCAAATGTGGTAAATGAACGACACTCTTCCAGGCAGGATTGTAGCCTGTCTTGTGCTTCGCTTCATCTTCTGACCACGGTGGTGAAACACGTGGGCAGCTTTTATAGTACTTACGTAAACTAACTGTGAATACAATTATTCGAGCGCGCGCGCATAGAGCGGCGGAGTGGAACTATAGCGCGGCGCTGCACCGCTCTTCCGCGCTTTAACGAGAACCCTGTTATGTTACATTACATCATGCTTAACGATTGATGTGCAATTTAGACCCTAATTAAGTATGTTACGTTACATCATGTTAACGATTGATGTGCAATTTCGTCACATGATAGCAGAGACCACGCAATAATATGCACGCAAATTACAAGGACGAGTTGTCTATTGATCTCAGTAACTGTGTCAAATTCTCCCTTACTTACAGAGGTTCTGGGAGCGGTAGTGTCTGTCCTCATCATCTGGGTGGTGACGGGAGTCCTGGTGTACGAGGCCATAAAGAGATGCATCTACAGAAACTTTGAAATTGAAGCCAATGTGATGCTCATTGCCGCTGGAGCTGGAGTCTTTGTCAACGTCTTGTAAGTCATTCAGATATACAGTGGAACCTCTGAGTAGGGAAGGTGTTTGGGATATTGAAAGTGAGAGTTCTCTCTTTATTCAGAGTATACTAATGCATATATATATATGGACAAGTTGTGTGTCCTTTGGATATTGAGAAACTTTTTTCAGAAATTTGACTGTTTTCACTACTTCACCTGTCCCTCTCTCGTCTTCCTCTCTCCTTCCTTTATCCTGTTATATAGTATGATGTCTGTACTGCATCAACGCGGTCATGGACACAGCCATGGTGGAGGAGGACATGAGAGGAAAAGAAGAGAAGTAGAGGAAGGAGAGGAGAGAGGGAGATGGAGAGAGGGAGGGAGTGGAAGGACTGCCAAGAAGAAGGGTCTCCACAACAAGAACATCAACGTACACGCAGCCTTTATTCACGTCGTGGGAGATCTCATACAGAGCATCGGCATTGTTATTGCTGGTTACATCATCTGGTTCAAGGTATGTCGTACTAAAAATAGATCTCCAGAGGTTATGGGGTTATTCATTGCCCCGTAGCCGGAATGGAAGCTGGTGGATCCAATTTGCACATTCCTGTTCTCCATTCTGGTTCTGTTTTCCACCATCAACATTCTGAAGGACACGCTGCGAGTCCTCATGGAAGGTATATGCATCGCCAATAGCTACAGTTGTGTGAGCCAGTGTTGAGAAATTTCAGAGCATTTTGATATTTCAAGTTTGGGCAGTCTAGATGTGTACTTAAAACTGTGGATCAGGTGCATGCACATTATAAAAAATATTATTACTTTGGATATGTTTCTAATTATGTGATTTTGTACAATGATTATGTCATTGTCTCAGGAACTCCAAAGCACATAGACTACGAGGCTGTGAAGGCAGACCTGGTGGACATAGATGGAGTGAAACACGCCCACAGTCTCAAGATCTGGTCCCTGACTCTCAACAAGACTGCTCTGGCCGTCCACCTCGCCCTCGGTCAGTGGGGACAGTATATAGTACTTGATCTGGTTACTCTCAGACGGAATAGAGACTCATTCAATGCCCCAGTGTGTAGAGGATTTCTATCCCTCGTCAAGCAAAGTGTCATTATTTCACTGCATTTCTCTCCCTCGCCCAGAGCCCGGAGCCGACAACCAGACCGTGTTGGAGAATGCGTCGTGCATGCTGAAGGAGAGGTATGGAATCAGTCAGACCACTCTTCAAGTGGAGGCCTTCCAGCCTACAATGGAGGATTGCCTCACCTGTCAGAACGTTGCACCACCCTCCAGACTAAAGTCCCTCTTCAAACTGGCCAGGAACGGCGGCAGGAGGGGCCCGTCCTCACTTATGTGACCCAGCACAGCGGACGAATTTCTGATTGTTTGTTTGAACACATTTTCTCGATGATGCATTGTACATACGCATGCGCGTGAAAAGGGAGGCGTGGCCGAGCTTTACCAGCTGTGCCCCGCGGAGAATGGCAACTGAGACAGGGAGTCATGAGCTGTTCTCTATAGGTTGCAGGAGGAGCAGCGAGTCCAGTAACCGTGACTACCTGTACCTGTGGACCTGAGTGTGAGGCGGAGTGTTGCAGGTCGAGGGTAGACGACGACTCCAGATTCTGATGTCGTCAGACGAAACTTCTCCCTTCTGACAGCTTCGCCCGAGACAAGTATATACATACAACTCTCTTCCACCTCCCCCACCTCCCCTCCTCCGCACACACTCGGCGCGCATGCTCATGCGAGGGTGACGTGTTTGTCTGTCTACCTACCGCACCACGCGCAACGAGACAACGATGAGCGATAAGGTTCACGCGCTTGATTAACCCTCGGCGCGCATGCGCAGCGAGGGTATACGTGTCTGTGTGTGTGTGGGGTGTGTCGCCGCTTATAGAGGTCGCACGAGGTGGCTAATGCGCGATACTACGGCTATTAGACTACGCGAAACTACGCGAACCTGAAAATTATTAGGCGATTTTCCTGAACGACTGCGTGCGAGAGCGACAAACTGGCACGGTCCGCGACCGAGTCCGTGGCCCCCAACATCACTGCGTGTTCATAGGTACGGTACCATCTTGCATCGGCAGGTATAGTAGACACTGTCCACGCGGTAGTGCTGTCCTAGACCTGATCCGCTTGCTCCTGTGTGACCGTCGCGTAGGCACCACATGAGCTCGCGCAGTCTTTTGCATCTGCCTGTGCCTCCTTCTAGACGAGTGCCAGCTGCTCTGACTCCCTACATACTTTAACGCTTCAGCTCATCGTGCTGACTTTACTCGATCTATCCGCTCTGAGTTTCTCACCTTTTCTTTATCATAGACGCGACGCACCGTCGCATATCTACTATTCTCTGCGTGCGAGAGCAAACACCCATGCATCCTGCGATAGCGCTCACTCTGCGCAGTTCTGCCGAGGTCTGGCTCTTCTGCTTGCCCTTTATTATCCCGTGGGCGCGTCTGTTTCGTAAAGCAGTGCGTTCGACGTTATGGCGTGACAATGTGCACGAAGATACGAACGAAACGATAGACGGAGACGACACGAAAGTCTATCGTAGTATTGTGACACCAGAGCTTTGTACACTGGCGGTGCGCACAATGATCACGCATGCGTGTATTCTACGCAGTATGCTGGCTCACTACTTTTCGCGACTGACCAGCTGCTCTGTGTACCTTGAGACACAAGAAGCCACAGCGAAGGTGTCTATCGACTCCGACATGTCTATCTACTTCCGTATACGGTGGCTCACCCGCTCGACTCTCTCCGACGAGCTACTATATACTAGGGGTAGACCGCGGTAACGCATACTAATCGGCCCATCCTGTTCCGTCCATAGCGGTATATTAGTACGCTACCGCGCGCCAGTTTTCACGCCGAGGGTTTTGCATTTTAGTGTCTTTTCATTTTCTTGTGAGGGCATGCGCCCGAGCAACTTCTGGTCGTTTCTTGTGAAAAACTTTTTTGAGCTGGCAATCAGCACTCGTACATGTCCGTCAGCGTTGTAGTGCGGAGCTGACGATGGAGAGCCTGAAGAAGGTATGTCCGCAGTGTGCAGTACTCGCCCCCGAGGGTTTGCACTTTTTAACAGTGCTTTTCTGAGTTTGGTTACAGTAACGCATGTGGGGTTCCTGTGGTCCAGGTCATTCTCTGCAGGAAGCTGTCCACTGTGGATGCCATGAGAAGTGTGCCTGATGTAACCAGTAGAAGCACGAACAACTCATAATCGCCTGCATCTTGGCCCTTTTCCTTATGATTGAGAATAGTAGGTGAGTGTTACGAGGTAGGGAGAGTGAACGAGGAGGATTCCTCCCCCCACTGTATTACCCAGGTGGCTACCTGTCACAGAGTCTGGCCAGTCTAATGACGCTGCTGCACCTTCTGTCCGAGTATGTGCCAGCTTCACAATCATCTCCTCAGACTTTTCCCATCTTAGTTGCCACCCGAAAACCCTCAAACGAATTCGTTTGGCTGGCAACAGACGCAGGTTGGTATGAACAACAGAAGAGTAGAAGGAAAGCAGGCACAGAAACATTAAGAGCTTGTAGTTAAAGCAGTTGAGTCAAGATATAGGTGGAAATGGAAGGCTAGAGAAGGTGGATAACGGGAAATTTGGGTTGAGGGAGAGCAGAGCGGGGGAGTTGTGAGGAGTAAAGATTAGAAAGGGGAGGGAAGATAGTTTGTGTTCTGGCTCCCGGTATTGGGTTTCTGTGCCTGGGAAGTTCCTGAACTCGAAGTACCTAACCACTTAAAAACCATTTATCCTACCTCTCCTATCCCCAAGTCCAGTAAGTTCTCGTCCCTGGACTTCTCTTCATTCTAGAGGACCTAAAGAGAAATGTAGTTTTTGCCAGAACTGTAATAACTAGCTGTGAGAGGTCTTGTGTGGCCATAACAGAGGCAACACCAGTTTGACACAGCAAAGCTATATATATATTCAATCTACCTCGTTGCATTTATATTCTATCGTGTCGTTCATCACATTTTCTATATAACGTAACAATCCAGAGCGGTGGCTATCTAGCCACCCAGGGGGGTCTGGAGGGACTGCTCCCCAGGAAAAATTTAGCATTTAGACCTCAGACTTGAATCTGGGGATTTGAGGCAAATTGGTAAATGAACGACACTCTCCAGCAGAAATTGTACCCTGTCTTTGATTCGCTTCATCTTCTGAACACGGTGGTGAAACACGGGGCAGCTTTTATAGTACTTACGTAAAAACTGTGAATACAATTATTCGAGCTTGCGGCGCATAGAGCGGCGGGCAGTTGGCAATAGAGCGGCGGAGTGGAACTATAGCGCGGCGCTGCACCGCTCTTCCGCGCTTTAACGAGAACCCTGTTTGTACATTACATCATGCTTACGATTGATGTGCAATGTAGACCCTAATTAAGTATGTTCGTCTCACGTCATGTTAACGATTGATGGGGCAATTTCCGTCACATTATGCATAGACAGCGCATAAGATATGCACGCAAATTCAAGGACGATTGTCATTGAGTCGTCCGTAACTGTGTCCAATTCTCCCTTACTTACAGAGTTCTGGGATCGGTAGGTTATCTTTACCTCATCATGGTTTTTTTTTTCCTGACTTCCTTGTTTCGTTTCCATAAAATATTTCATCTACAAGTATCGTTGAATTGAAGCCAATGTTATGCTCATTTGCCGCTGTGAGGTGGAGGCTTTGTCACCTCTTGTAAGTCATTCATATATCAGTTGAACCTCTTAGTAGGGCAAGGTTTGTTTGGGCATATTGAAGTGAATGAGTTCTCTCTTATTCAAGAGTCTACTAATTTATATATATATTATGGAACAAGTATTTGTGTTTCCTATACCAA